AGACCACTCTCTGGCTTCTGTGACGTCCAGTGAGGATGATCAGAATGGTCCCAGGAGTGAGGCTGGCTCAACAGCTTTCGCGGCACATCTTCAGTAGGATAATACCTAGGCATTTTGTGCAGTTTAACCACCCGGATACCACCATTCTTGTCTCCACCAACTGGTTTAGTGACAGTAGCTAGAACCTTCTCCTTTTTCTTTTCGATCCTGGATTTAGTGGTCGAGTATTTCCTCTTGTACGTGGCCTTCCTGGAATACATGGCAGACCGGGAGTATCTGCCGATGCCCCAGACTAGGACAGGGTTTCAGCTGCAATGGGGTTTCCCCTTCTTGGGATTTTTTAGCCTTGAGATCACCCTTTTTAACCTTGCCACTGGCATCGGCCTTCTTGGCTTCAGGTTTCTTCTTAGTATCCTGCTTCGCAGCTTTTTCACCTGCCATCCTGTACAGTGGGAAAGAGAACTCGGGTCTTGAGGGTTTTTTGTTGTTGTTGTTGTTCTTGTTTTTTTTTTTTTTTTTTTTTCCCGAACGGTGCTTGTGCTTGCTGGAGAGAGACAAAACAAGGAAAAGTGAGGAATCAACCCCATGGCAAGGGATTAGCCATGCTGCAATCCCTTTTCCTCCATTCTGCTTCTGGGATTTAGGACATGCACACACACACTCGCCTAGTGTGATTTTCAAGCCACCAGGTCCAGGACTTGAACCACAGTTGGCCATATGGAAGTCCAGTGCCTTAATCACCTGCTGGTCCCAGTCTTGACCTTTTGATGGTGACTAATTGGGAATCAGGAGACTAGGGTTCCATACAAATCTACCACGAGCAATAAACTTCTTTATGGATCTCAGTGTCCTCACTGGCAGGTTTCTGAGGTTCTTTCCAAAGCCCAAATTCTATTTAGTTTTGGAATGTACCTGCTTCTTTTGCAGTGTCTAGAAATTTTCAGAATGGTGATAATGGGCAAGTTCCTGTCATGAGGGGCTGAAAACCCCATTAGTTCAGTTCCTGCTAAGGCGTGCTTCAGGCAGCAGGGAGCTCGCTCTGTGGTTCATGTTTCATTGAATTTTCTCTACTTGTTCATTTTGCATTTCATTTCTCTGTTCATATCCTTAGTATCTTCTATTTATTTGGGATTTAATGTACTCTTCTTATGCTTCTCCAGGTGAAAGTTTAAATGTTAAACATTACTTCTTTCTTCTCTAATATAAATATTTAAAGCTATAAGTCTCCCCCAAAGCACTGCTTTAGCTGTATCCCTCTATTTTTGATACATTGTTTTTATTGTCACTCAGTTAAAATTCTTTTTCTTTCTCCTTTTTTTTTTTTTTTTTTTTTTTTTTTTTTTTTTTTGTAGTTTGCCAGAGGGTATGTGCTTGCAGGACAGAGAGAGAGAGTGACAGAGAAAGGAAAAGTAAGAAAGCACATCCCATAGGGAATGGTCAAACCACAACCCTTCTCCTCTATTTCTCCCTCCTTTTGGGATTTTGGACACGCACAGGCACCTGGCATGTTTCTCAAGCACCAGGTCTGGGACTGGAACTGTGCAATCAACCTCGTGGTATCCAGCTGCCTTAACCACCATGCCATGGCCCCCACTCATATTATTTCTAATTTCCCTTGTGGTTTCTCTTTTGATCCACAGATGTATACTGCCAATTTTCTAAGTGTTTAGATGTATATTGCTTATTTCTTTTTTTTGGGGGGGGGGCGTAGAGGTTTTTGTTATAGGGTGCATGTGCTCGCCAGAAAGAGAGAGAGAAACAGAGAGAAAGCGAGAAATCACCCCCCATGGGGGATGGCCACGCCACAATCCCTTCTCCTCCGTTCTCCTCTGGGGATCTTGGGCGTGCACGTACATGTGCCCGGCATAAGTTTCAGCCACCAGGTCCAGGACTCAAACTGCGGTCGACTACATGGGAGTTCAGCAACATAGCCAATATGCCAACTGCTGGTCCCTACATTGCTTATTTCTAAGTGTTTGCTTTTCCATGTATCTTTTCGTTATTGCTCTATCTTCAGTTTCACTGAGCCTTTTTTCTGCTGTCCTATCTGCTACTAAATCATATGGTAATTTTTCCATTGCATATATTGTACTTTCAGTTCTGGAATTTCCATGTGGTTCTTTTGTCTTCTTCCCATTCTTCTGTTGAGATAAATCTGTTAGTTCATAACCATTTTCCCCTACCAGTTCTTGAACATATTTATAATAGGTGTTTAAAGTCCTTTATGCTGATGCTAACTTTGGGTCTCCTCAGGGTATTTTATTGACTGCTTTTTGTTTTGACTATGGGTCACTTTTTTTTTTTTTTTGAGAAAGAGAGAGATTTTTGCTATGGGCATGTGCACTCGCCGGAGAAGACAGAAAGCGAGAAGTCACTCCCCAGAGGGGGAAGCCATGCTGTAATCCCTTTTCCTCCAGTCTTCTCTCGGGATCTTGAGGACCCTCACACATGTGCCTGGCATGAGTTTTTTAACTCGCCAGGTCCAGGACTCAAAACCGCAGTCGATTACATGGGCAAATTCTATTTAGTTTTGGAATGTACCTGCTTCTTTTGCAGTGTCTAGAAATTTTCAGAATGGTGATAATGGGCAAGTTCCTGTCATGAGGGGCTGAAAACCCCATTAGTTCAGTTCCTGCTAAGGCGTGCTTCAGGCAGCAGGGAGCTCGCTCTGTGGTTCATGTTTCATTGAATTTTCTCTACTTGTTCATTTTGCATTTCATTTCTCTGTTCATATCCTTAGTATCTTCTATTTATTTGGGATTTAATGTACTCTTCTTATGCTTCTCCAGGTGAAAGTTTAAATGTTAAACATTACTTCTTTCTTCTCTAATATAAATATTTAAAGCTATAAGTCTCCCA